AGCTGCACTGATTTTAATTCTCATTTTTACAGCCAACAATATGTTTTTAGTCTTGTTTCCTGTCAACTGTACATTAGTTCTGCTGATCCTGAGACATGCTGTGGCCCCAAAGCCCCATTCCTTCCTGCTGAAGATGTAAATGTCACAATCATGCAGTTTCATGCGGCTGCATAATGCGAATATTTACAGTGAATGAGGCCAACGGCGTTCAGTGGCACTGAGGAATAAGATATATCTATTAGTAATAGGTTTAATTCATTGTTAGCTTTTGTCTTTTCATGTAATCTGTTGATAATTTGTCAAAACATTTTACAGGCTCATAGGAACAACTTTCAAATATCAAATATCAATATCAAATATTAAATTTCTCTCCTTTTTCTTTTTATCTGAACAGACCACGTTATTGTTCCGAATCTGTCGAAGCATTCAGCTTACCAGGTTCAAATCAGACATCGGTCCACTAAGGCCCATAACCCACTGTGGAGCAACTGGTCTCCAGTTGTGATGGTTCCTGCAGGTGAAGTCAGAGATTTCATGGTGAATTGGTTAGCACTTTGGACCATAGCACCATTGTCCTGATGATTAAAATAATAGGCATTTAATAATTAACATGATGATTAACATCTTTAGCCACAAAAAGTAAATGTTTAATCATTTAAAAACTGCACTAATGTATGATTATTGGCCTGAAATCATCTGTGCACATTGGATAATACATAGATCCATCCTCAAATGTGAAATATTACACCTTACATTATTTAACATTTCTTATTATTTAACAGACATTTCAATGTGTTTAAAGATGGTGAACTGTGAACAGATGCAGCTTAAGTGACACTGTTTTTATTCCACTCTAAAAAAACATTTATTTTGTCGTAATGTGAGAAAAAAGTGAGACTAGGTTCAAAATAACTCAACACAACTGTCCATTTATATGTTGTGTTTCTACTGCAGAGCTTGAACAAATGCCTGGAGTCACCGTGACAACAACACTTATAAATGGCACTCGAAAGGTGATGCTAGCGTGGAAGGTAAGCTGGCACCACACGTTTAAAATGTACTTTTCACCAGCACTTATTGACTTTGTCATAACTTGCTGGACACAGATCAGAGTGTAATATTCAGAAAATCAAGCATTAAAATTACAACTGAACTGGTGATTTGATGCGTTAAATTTCAACTAATAATCCTGGTATTTTTATTACAGCTTCTATAATGTGTAGATGTAAAGTCATCATGTTCACAATGTACCCAATGAAACTTTTTATATATCAGACCAAAAAAACACCATTAAACACAATGAAAAATGACTAATAACTACATTACACAATCTGGTGGGTGTGGGATTTTTATATTTACTATCGACTTTGTACTATTACACAAGAATTTTACCACCAGGTTTTTTTTTCTCTCCAGTGTTTGCTGATACCTGACGGTTTATCACAGCAGAGAGGATAATTACCACTACTTCTACTCCTACAGTGCTACTATTACTATTACAACTACTACCTGTAGTACAGCTCACTGCCTCCACACACAGCTACATCCTTGTCTTAACAAATCTTAAATTGCATCATAAAATCTGTTAAAGCAAGAACATTACCAAAAACCTACAGTGTAAATAATATATAATATCTTATAATATCTTAAAATATGGCCAGTTAGGCAACCAGTATAAACGTTTTCGTGCAGATAATTTTATAACTATTGAATTCACCGGAAGCAATGTGCATACCTTTTCAAAATCTAACAGAAAATGTCCCCACTGACTTACAGCAGTTTTAAAATAACACTCATTCTACACAAAACCTTTAATACAAACCTTCAACATCACTAGTTCAAGTAACCTGGTACATATACTTCACTATTAGCTTTAAGTGTGTGTCCTTCTGGAGTTTCTACCACTTTGTGTTCAGTCCTTGGACTTTTCTTTTTCTGATTTACCTGCGTTGTCTGAACTGAGCTCTCTTCTGCTCTTCAGCCGATGCCACATGCAGTGTCGGTCACAGGAGTGAATTACACCATGAATAACACACAGTCTTCTCGTGGATGTCCTTGTGCGGAAAGGACACAACACTTCAAATGGAATAAATACACTACTTATATCTCGTACTCTGCGGCCAACATCTCTGTGATCGCCAGAAACACAGCAGGGTATTCTCCTCTAGCAATCATACAAGTACCGGCCGTACCTGCTGCAGATTTAAAAAGTATGTATGTGTGTGTGTGTGTGTGTGTGTGTGTGTGTGTGTGTGTGTGTGTGTGTGTGTGTGTGTTTTGCTGAGTGTGTCACATATTATGTATATTTATCCTGAAGTAGACCTTAAAGACTGTTATTTCTTTCTCCCCTGCCAGGTTGTGACAAAACTTTACTGGATCGAAAATTAAATAAGCAAACATGCCTTGAGTTGTATGACCTTCAGGATGGAGATTCAAGGTCAGAAAATGTGATTACTTTAACAGGAAGGAAGAAAAAAAAAGAAAGGGTGAAAATAAGAAAGAGTAAGTTGAATTTTAAGTGCTTCTAACCAGACGACCTTATCTAATTGACTGTTTCAACACATACAGGTGTCAAAACATGATTTGCAGCGTTGTTTCATTCTCTCCATTATGAGGATAATAAAATAGGTCACATTGCAAACCAAAACCAAACACAGGGGAAATTCTGCTGAATTTATATGCACACCAGACATTTCCGTTGGTCTCCAGCCAATTGTTTCACAAACTCTTAATTTCGTGTTGACTGTTATAGACACAGTTGTATTAGAACTATTTTCCGCGTGGGAAAACTATAAATCTGAGTCTAAGTCTGACTTCCTGTTTCTGTTACAGCTGTGAAGGACTACGTTCGCTACCTTTACTTTGAACACAGATGTAATGGTAGAAAGCCACAGACAGTTAAAATGTGCCTCTTTTATCAAAAGGAGGGTGGTAAGTGTCGTAATATTGACCACTTTTAGAGCACACTGGACCTTTAATGAGATGAGTTACGGTGCTGACACTGAATCAGGATTATAGAGTACAGCTAAGTTTGTCTAAACCATTTTCAATAATTTTTTCCCCTTGTACTCCTTCAGTTCCACTCAGAGAACCTCAGGACTTCACTCCTTCTAGTGAAACAGATCATTCTGTCGACTTGTCTTGGAAAGCGATTCCCTCTGTGGACCAGCGAGGTTTCCTCACACACTACAGCCTCTGCAGAGTGAAAATCAGCTCACAGGAAGAACACAAAGGTGTGAAGTCACTCCTTTACTCATCCAAGGTCCAGTGTGCAACATTTAGGAAGATCTAATGACAACACAATAGTGTATAATCACCTGAATATGTGAATGAAGTTATGTTTTTGTTACCAGAATAAGCCATTTTGCCTTTATTGTAAAATATTTCTGTTGATACTTGATAACTTTCACTTACAGTAAAAAAAAAAAAAAAAACTAAATTTCTTTATGTTTTTCCACATCTCCTTTTATCAGACTGTCAAAACATATCAGCCTCACTGATAAATCACCGTCTGGAAAACTTGACACCAGGAACGAAATACAACATCAGCCTGGCCGGAGTCACACGAGTGGGAGAAGGACCTCGAGTCACAATAACCATAAACACACAACCAAAGAAGCCTGTGAATGGTACCAGACTTACAGAATTAACTCTCATGTTTAAACTGCTTTAAATACAAGTCAATGGAGAACTTCTTCCACTTGTGAGTGCTAACAAAGCTTTTTTTCTCCCGAGATTAGTGTTGTGGAGTCTTCTTTTTCTGTTTGGGTTCTTTTTCATCTCAACAGTGTGCACCTTTATCTTGAAGAGGTAGGTGACCCCCCTTCTGTCTCATCTGATAATTACACTTTATGTATAGAATTGCCATCATAATATCTTTCAAATTGCTCTGATGACTTAAGTTTTTGTTTGTATAAAGATGAAACACTCTTGATGAACATTAGTGTTGACTATGCATAGAGTTGCCGTTTTATCTGCAATGTCTAAAATCAGCTGTTCATCACGGATGGCCCTAACAGTTTCTACTCTGTTCTAATATTTAGAATCAAAAACAAGATCTTCCCTCCTGTGCCAATACCTGTTATTCAAGCTTTCACCCACTGTCAACCAGAGAGTCAGGTAAGGACACCCAGGCCACCACATCCTAGAAGATAAACCCTAATGATGTTGGTGATCCCTCGACTTTTACCTCTAGCGCCACTATAAAGTGTTTTGGATGAAATGTCTCAACAACTCTTACATGGATTGACATTTTGTACAGACATGTCTAGATGAAGATACATTGTATTTACAATGGTAATTCCTTGATTGTTCAGGCAAGTGCTGCCATCGTCTGGTCAAAGAATTTCCCTATTGTTTGGTTTATAAATACGTGAGGTTCCCATCAGCTTCACCTGTACTTTGTGTTTCATGGTACTTGGTAAGATGGTGAACACGGTAAACATTACACCTGCTAAACATTGTCACGTTGTCACTGCCAGCATTTAGCTTACCCATCTGTGCCTGTAAGCCTCACAGAGCCGCTATGTAGCACGTTTTTTGTTCTATGTTGTTCTTCTAACTTCATTTTCAAGTACTTTTATTCTATATACGGCAATAAAAGTGGCCAGCAAGTGAAGAATTTCTATGCATGACAGTAAAGTTTGGAGTCTTTGAATCTTACTGCCCTCTGTTTAATGTGACCTACAACAGGAGATGCTGGAGAGAAAGGAGGAGGTTCATGAGCTGACACTGCACAAGCTACATCCAGAGTGCGAGTCTCTCCCCGAGGATGCAGAGGAGACCACTGTCTTTAGAGGAAAGTGGGATGATGGCACCGACGAGGACACGGAGGATGAGAGGGGTGATTCAAGGATGTCAGGAGGAAGCAGCGATGAGTGTTTGAGTACAGATCAGGCACTGAGGAGCTCCAAAGAAGGGGAAATATCAAATCTTGATCAGGTGGACAATGAGATCGCCATGCTGATATACAGGACTGGTTTGGTCTTTGACGTGAAGCCTTAAACTGGATTCAACCAAAGAGTTTTACTGCCTCACAGCCCAAAACTGCACAAACATTTGAAGGGCTGACATATTTGCTGGATTACACTTTTCTAACATTCATTGTCTTTTTCTGATGAAGAATCTGAGTTATCACAGTGTTATAAGAATTGTGTTGAATGTTGAATTTTGCCAGTAACATCACATTACGTAAGGACATCAGTATGAGTAGCAGCGTAAACCACTCACAGGATTTTCTTTATGCTAACATATCTCCTCGTGTCCCTCACTTGCTGCCTTTGCTCGCCTCTTACCTCCTCCCAGCGTGGATGTGATGCGAGAACAGAGGAGGCGAAGCTGGCCAATGAGAAATCCTTGGTTCAATAACATCAGGCTTGAGCGACGCCAGTTATTTATCACATGCTGCACAGCATCACTTTTCAACGGCTGGTATGAATGTTCAGAGAACCCTTTATTTAAGAACAATTTCAAAACCTCACAGTACTCATTTAAATATGTAAATAGTTTAACAGAGCTGATTATTATTTAGTAGTATTTTTTGTTCTTAATATTCCTTTTAAATCTTATAACTTATGTTAATCTCAGTCTTATTTGTTATGATTACTTTGGCTATTTATTAACTTTAATTTTTTATCTGCACAATAATACACCACATAAGAATGTGTTTATGTTGATTATACTGTAAAATAAAAAGAGAAAGGGGAACCACAGGTCAGGTTTTTGGGGCTCTGAGTGCATACCTCCTACATCTACCTTTCGGACTTCCCTGGTGGTTATAATGTTATGCAGCCCCATACCAACAAACTGATGCACTGTGTGTTCGGAAACCAGCATTAACTTTTCAGCAGTTTGAGCTGCAGTAGTTCATCTGTTGGATTGGACCACACGGGCCAGCCTTCACTCCCAACGTTACATCAGTGACCAGTTCACCACATTTCCTTCAATGGACCACTTTTGATTGGTACTGACCACTGCAGACCGGGACACCCCACAAGAGTGTGGACGCAGTTTGGAGATGCTCTGACCCAGTCGTCTAGCCATCACAGTTTGGCCCTTGTCAAAGTCGCTCAAATCATCACGCTGCCCATATTTCCTGCTTCTAACACATCAACTTGAGGACAAAATGTTCACTTGCTGCCTGATATATCCCACCTACTGACAGGTACCATGATAACCAGATAGTCAGTGTTATCCACTTCACCTGTCAGTGGTCATAATGTTATGGCTGATTGATGTATGACTGTATCTGCTTTGAGTCTACCATTACAAATTTGGTGCCATTTGACCAATAGGTGGCACTGCAGCAGCATCATCGTACTATAAAGGAAGGAATATTTGAAAAACCATTCATCTGACCAACTTCACACTTGGTGGGTGTATTGCTGAGGACTGAAAGGAGTGCAGAGTTGAATGTGTAGCAGAAATGCTCACAAGTCACTTTTGCATTATCTGCTGCCTGCAATTCGGAGCGCTTAGAGCACTTCATAGCTATATCTAAGGAATTCAAAGCATGGTCCACATTGTTTGGTATGTTTGGCAATGCATTATGAAAAAAACACATAATGAAAGTATGGCTGGGCGATATGGCATAACAGTTTTGTAACACCAGACCACTGATTTATGATATTAATATGGTGTGTTTCTTTTGTCTTTTCTTTTTTTTTTTTTTTTACATTTGAACGGAAGTCATCTTTTCAAAATGAAAGCGCAAGTGATTTGGTATGAAACTCCTAAAACGGAAATGGGAAAAGAATGAGGATGTAAGACGAGGAGGAGTTACAGCAGAATTTCAAAGACCACAACACAAGCTGGGATAAAACTGGATTGGATTTGTTTTGCAACAGATTACAAACATTGACATGCACAGAGATTTATTTGAGATTAGAGGAAACCTTCCCTCAAAGTGCTTCTCTTTCCAATCATACATTATGTCTAAAATCAGTTTCAGAAGACCACACAATTACTGAGCCTTTTTAAAACCCTTTTTAAAACTATATAGTTACCTGCTGTTTTGAAAGATTTACTTAGTAGGAAGCAAATCTACAAGCGAGGACACAGGTGGACTGACGCTTTAAATTAAACTGACTGGAGAAGAAAGTCAAATTTCAAACAAGTTTCAGTAGCTTGAAGCAGCTATAAGCTGAGCTGTAAGTAAAAGTAATGTCAATGTGACCAACAATATGGTAACATGTTCAAGACAGAGACAAAAAAGAGCAGAGATTCAACAAGTGAGGTTTTTTAAAATGTCCTTACCACATTATAAAAATGCTGAAAAGTCCAAACTGAAGTTGAAGTTGAAGTACTTTGAGTCCTTACTCTATTTATTACACCGCTGAACCAAACTCCTTGACTGACGCCCCTCTTCTGTCTTCTGTCATGATGATGGACTAAACACTAGACAGATGTGTCTGTATTGTGTTGTTGTAGCTTCCAGAGTCTCCTTCATGGTTTTCTTTTACAGGCGGTTTGAAGAGAACAAAAAACTGTTGTAAAGAGATTAACTTTTAAAAATCAACAAGAAAATGACTTCAAAGAGTTGTCACTTTCAGAATGGCTGCTGTGACTGCCAATGTCTTCAACGCAAGCTCCCCCCACCCCTGGCACTTGTGGTTTTACTGTAACTCATTTAAACTGAGAGACATGAAACTTCTCTGACATTTCAGAGAAAGGTAACTGAATTACATGAAGGCAGACTGAATACATGGACTTTCACACGGTGAAGAATGATCCTTCTAGACTTTCCACTATACCTCATGGAAACTTTGAAACGCTGGTGTTCTCTGTGTGGATGTATCATTGTGTTTATGTTCCTTACAACGGTGAGCAAAGGTAAATACATACGGAAATCCTTTATCTTTTCTAAATTAAGCAGTAGTATTAGTATTAATCTTATGTGACTCATTGTATCTGACCTTATCAAGACACGGTGCCGAATATTATATCAGACAGAAAGTGAAAATTCATTTACAGTAAAAGTAAAACGATGGCCACAAAATGTTGGTTAGCTTATCAGTGTCGTGTGGTTAACAGATGTTCACTGTGTTGCTCTCATCCTATTGCAGTGCCAGCCTTCGTGTCTGTAAAGATATTTTTTACAAATAGAAGGACTATTTTTCTCAGTTTTTGAGCTTGTTTGAGTTTGTTCAGCACAAATGCAACAGAGGGGTTCAGTGCTGGGGCTGATGGACCAAACCTCCAACCTGTCACAATGTCAAGTTAAATACATTGTGTAATGTATTTTAAAGTGCTTCATCGTGACACTAAAATAACATGAGGAAATTTAAGAATATACTCAAGACATAACATTAAAAGTGGATTAACTGTATTAAAAAAAGGTTTAGAAAACTTTATTTTATTGGGTTTGTTGCTGAAGCAGTTTTTTCTAAAGAAAATGTCTTTATTATGTATTTAATGAAATAGAAATAAATAAATAAACATTAAAATGAGTACATTTTGATAATTCTGAAATGTGTTTCTGCTCAGGGTTAGCATGTGAGGCTCCTTCTAGTCCGCAGTGCTTCAAAAGAAAAGCTGAAGAGGCCTTTTACATCTGTGAATGGAGCATGAATACGACTGAGAGTGATGTGACATTTGACCTTTACTTTTTGTGAGTACTGTTCTGTGTTTGAGCTGCAGTCTAACTATAAAACAAGGAATATCTGTATGTCTGTCCTTCGCATGTCTCGGGGACCGCTCATCCGATCAATTTCACATTTTGGCGGGTGTTGTTGAGGACCCTAGGAAGTGCAGTGTTGACTTTGTGACAAATTGAATTTATAAAGACAAACCTCACTCTCAGAAACAATTATTTGAATTCTGTGGGTCCAAATGAATCTATTCATATAACCAGTGCCCATTTGTTGTTGTCTGTTTCCCACCATGTAGAATTTTGTTAACTCTATTGCACAGTTGTCACCAAATGTGGTACCAACCAACTCTGGACCAAGCCTTTATATTTGTTTCAGTTTAACCATAGCTGGCCCTAAAACTCTTACTTTTGATTCTGATTTTCAGGCTTATTTTACAGGTCATATTAAGTTTTAACTCTTTAAAATGGCAAATGTGGTTGCTTGGACTGAGATTAAGGAAAACCCTTAATAGTTTGTTCTGAGCTACTTGTTTGTTCTTTTAGTTATTCCAGCGTAGCAGGTTATGCAAGTATAAAAGTGGCATTGAACTAAGGATGTTGGTAATGGGCTCATGGTTTCCTTAACAAAGAACTTGGATATTCTTGCCAGATACTTTGTTTTTAAGTGGACTTTCACAATGACACAGAGGGCCATAGACTCGCTGCACATTACACTGTTTGAGTTCACATCAAAGATAAGTAAAAAAAACACTGTTCCTATGTTTGTTCAATTACATTCAACAAAAAAACTGCTTAGGTCCCTCAATTTAAAGACTTGTTCCAGAAACCAATCTATTCAAGATAACCTACTGTTACCAACTGATTACTTTTTGGAGCTCTTTACCACGTGATAATCAAACTGTTTCTAAACACTCTCAAGTTAGTAACAAAGCTGAATCATCTGCATACATAGTAAATACAGGACATGGACAAACCTCCATGTATCCATATACACAATAAAAACAATAAAGTAACTAATTGTGCTTCCTTTGGGGGCACCACAGGTAAAGTTTTTAGAGCAAACCACCTACATCTACCATTTGGACTCTGCAGGAAGGAATATTTGTCTTTCTGTCAATAACCATGCATCCGACCAACTTCACACTTGGTGGGTGTTTTGCTGAGGACTGAAAGGAGTGCAGAGTTGAGTGTGAAGTAGAGATGCTCGCAAGTCACTTTTTGCAAGTCCAAGTAAAGTCTGAAGTCTCATATTGTTCGTGTGTTTGTTTGCTAGCGTTTTTTTTTTATCTGCTTCCTTCAATTCGGTGTGCTCAGAACACTTTATGGCTATATCTAAGGAATTCATGTCCCACTGTATTATCATGACTGCTTTATCTATTAGTGTACTGTGCAGCTTTGATAAGTTGTTCGGTATGTTATTATGGTGTGTTATTAGAAGGGCTGTTGCAATGCAATATACAAAAAAAAACACACACAATGAAAATAGGGCCAAAAAATAAAAAAATATTATAATAACACACCACATCTGATTTATGATGGTAATCGTTTTGGGCTTTTTTTTTTTGTTGGCAATGTGAAACACCACCGTATCTGCAATGCTTGATCACTGGGGTCCCTTTTTTTCTCACATGAGATACTAAGTGAAAGTTATTACACACGTTCTGTGTAGTTGAGTTATTTGGGGCATCTTTTACAGAGTCCTTAGCTGCTGTATATCGTCGCATTGTAACATTTGTAGTTTAAATATCTATTTAAACAAAGCCAGCATTCGAATAAGTTGGCAAACAAGCAAACATTCACTCATATTATCAAAATATGCAGCGATCTGCAATTTAATCAAGGTAACTTCTCTTAGCTACAAAGCCAGCAGCAAGCTAATGTTACAAAGGTGATGATGCATTTTCAGGTGGTTGATCCAGCATCCTTTTTTTGATAACGCAGACGTTGCAATATGCAGTTCTTTTCCTTTGGTCCTTGTGTAAAGTTACTATAGCCAAAGGTTATGACAAGTGAGCATAAGCCGCAGGTGTGCCTGCAATGTGGTTGTTCCTGCAGCTTACAATCATCTGTGGCTGTGTGCACCAGATATGTAGTCATGTTAGTAAGGGAGGCACTGAATGAAAAAAATAGAAAATAAAAAATACAATAAAGATTGTTTACAAGTCCCTGATCTCAAGTTGAGTCTGTTGAGGACTCAAGTCACTGTGTGTGCAGCTTAAGTGCGACTCGATTCCAAGTCACAAACTCGAGTGCCTGTCTCTGGTGTGAAGTCGAATGAACGGTTCTCGAAAACACTGAAATCAGCACTTGGCTTTTGCCAAATGGGAATGCTCTGTCGAAAGACAACAAAATACACATTGAATAAATTACAGATCACATGTTAATTGGTGAGCTTTAGATGTGCTGGTTATGTGTACTTTTTGTTACCTTTTGGACGGAGCCAAGCTACCTATTTCCCCTGTTTTTATCAGTCTTAAAGCAACTTATGGAAACAAAAATGGAAAACTGGTAAACTTAAGTCTGATGGTCAGGGCATGTGAGATGTTTTCAGTTTCTGTCATTTTCACTGCACTCAAATCTCTACATATTCATCCATAGTGATGAAAACTTTGGGAGCACAAACACCACCTGGTATGAGATCCACGAAGATCGACTTATCAAAACTCGTTCTGTTGACATTTGGGTGGAAGCTTATGTAGGAAACTCCAGCTGTACGTCAACCAAGAGGTCTGTTACACTGTCGCAAACAGGTACTGAATGCTCCACTCATTTCACCTAACATGCACCATTAAAACACACTATTGTGTGTACAAGTTAACTGAGGCTGTTTCGGTTTATACTGCAATGTTATGGTGAAAGTACAAAAGTAAATAAATGTAAAATCCTACACAAAATATTTTGCTTTTTCAACAGTTAAATATGAAGCACCGCAAAAAATTTCCATCTCCTGGTTAAAAAACGGCCTCAAACTAAGATGGGCAGCAGTAGAGCAGAATTCAGCTTTAGCCGAGGTCCGGTTCCAACGACATGATGAACACCACACAGAATTATGGGAGAATGTGAGGCAAATTGTGTTACCAATTTCAGTGCATCTGAAGCAGTTTTTCTACATTAGTTAACATATTTAACCTTTTATTGGTATTGCTGTTTCTTGCAGAGAACAACAAATACCACGATTGAGTCTTCTATGTGTGAGTAGTCTTTTATATCTTTGTAATTGAAGTCCTTTAAATGGAAAGTTCATTCAGCTTTGTTTATTTGTTATATTTATTCTGTGCTTCTTGGGGATCTATCTCTGGGACACACTGAATTGGTTTTGCTTGTTTTAACCACACTGATTTCAATTCTCATATTTACAGCCAACAATATGTTTTGAGACTGTACGTTAGTTCTGCTAATGCTGAGACAGAGGTGACAGTAAGTTGTATAGGGCTCACATGAAAAGACCAAAACCAACAGTGCATTAATCTATCTCTCAATATTTTTTGACTTCTCTACCTTGCTGTGGCCCTCAGACCAAACTCATTCCTACTGAAGATGTAAATCTTCTCACAAACAAGTAGCAAACAAGCAAATGTTTGTTGTAATGATGGGTTTTTAATTGTTTTTTGCTCAATGGTACTGAGGAATAAGTGACTCTTTACAATGGAAATATTAATAGGTTGAAATCATTTAATTCTTTTGTTGACATTTCTACTTAAATGTGTAACATATCCAGGGGAATAGGAACAACTGTCAAATGTAAAAAAATTGACAACATTTTTTTTTTTTCTTTTTATCTGAATAGACCAGGTCATTGTTACGAATATGTCAAAGCATTCAGCTTACCGGGTTCAAATCAGACATCGGCCCACTCAGCCCCGTAACCCACTGTGGAGCGACTGGTCTCCAGTTGTGATGGTTCCTGCAGGTGAAGTCAGAGATTTCACAGTGTATTAGTTAGCACTTTGGACTTTAATCAGTTATTCTGATTGTATAATCTGATTGTGTTTTCACTGCAGAGCTTGAACGATCACCTGAAGTCTCTGTGACAACAAGACTTGTAAATGGCACTCGAAGGGTGATGCTAACGTGGAAGGTAAGCCAGGGGATGCTAAAACATTCACAGCTGTGGGTTTAGATGAGAGAAGCTCATGTTTTATTCTAATATTGATAAATGGGATTGTTTGCAATTAAATCAGGATACATTTCTGCCACCCCTTAAAGTCTCCTTGCCACCCTCTTGTCACCGCACAAATATCTCTTGATCCGCCCCAGGGGGCAAGGGAGCGCTGAAAGTTCAAATATACTCCCAAACAGACACTTACACGGACAGCTGCAGACGCAATGGCCACATAATAGTTCTGTTTAAGGTTTTCCGGAGCTGGACAAAGTGTTGTGGCCGTGTGGACAGTCCGTGCGGTCACAAGAAATTGGCAGATGTCTGCACAGAGCCTAAATGTACACCAAATTTATGTCACATGGACCCTTTAGCACCCTTGCATACTCAAGGACATGGAAAGTATAATTCCTGCTTGAGATAATCAATGTGCTGCAGACACCTCTACAATGAAATAAGATCTTACCCATTTTTAAACGTGAAAAAAAAAAACAAATCCAAATGCAGCAAACCTTCAACACCAGTAACCTGGTTCATATACTTCACTCTTTGCTCTAAATTTTGTCCTCAGGACCAACAATGTGTGTCATTCTGGAGTTTTTCCACTTTATGTTTCCTTCTTGGACTTGTCTGTTATTTACCTGCATTGTCTCCAGGTTGGGTCGTACCATTCATAGTTGATTACTACCTCTGCCCTGTTCAGTCTGAACTGAGCTCTCTTCTGCTCTTCAGCCGATGCCTCACACAGCGTCAGTCGGAAAAGTGAATTACACCCTGAAAGACACGCAGTCTTCTCGTGGATGTCCTTGTGAGGAAAGGACACATCACTTCAAATGGAATAAATACACTACTTATATCTCGTACTCTGCTGCCAACATCTCTGTTATCGCCAGAAACGCAGCAGGGTATTCTCCTCCAGCAATCATACAAGTACCGGCCGTACCTGCTGCAGATTTAAAAAGTATGTGTGTGTGTTTGCTTGAGTGTGTCACATATTATGTATATTTATCCTGAAGTAGACCCTTACAGACTTATTTCTTTCTCCCCTGGCAGGTTGTGATAAAACTTTACTGAATGAAAAATTAAATAAGCAAACTTGCCTTGAGTTGTATGACCTTCAGGATGGAGATTCAAGGTCAGAAAATGTGATTACTTTAACAGGAAGGAAGAAAAAAAAGGAAAGGGAGCAAATAAGAGAAAGTAAGTTGTATTTATGACAGAACACTTCATCCCCTCAGCTAATCTTTGGCCTTATCACCACCAAAATTGACAGTTTTAATACATAGAGGTTTTTAGTCATCAGTTGTTTGTGCCATCTTGTTCCTTTAATGTTGTAACACAACAATGTTTTTGTTTCTGTTACAGGTATAAAGGACTATGTTCGCTACCTTTACTTTGAACATACATGTGATGGTGATAGGAAACCACGGACGGTTAAACGGTGCCTCTTTTATAAAAAAGAGGGTGGTAAGTATTTTTGGATTAGGTCACCATAATTACCAGACACTTACCCGACAGTGCTGCGACACTGATACCTCTATGGTTGATGTTTGGTTAGTTTTAGGCACAAGAATTAAACATCTAAGGCACCAAAGTCCGACAATTTATTGCCCCGACATTTGGACATTATTGCTTCCTTTTGCTGTGTGTCATAATAACTATGACTGCTGGAGAGCTTTGTCACTTGAACATCAATATGTTGTTTTTGGGTATTTACACTGTTCATCTCTCTTGATAGAAAAACTTTATCTTGTTTTGTGTGTGTATTTTTTTTATTTGCTCACCTGCTATCTGGTAGAACAATCCCATCTCAAAACTAAATTCAGGTATTGGCCAAATAAGGACCTTATATTTTATAATTTCTTATTTAAAATCTGTACATCTCCTCTCACTGTGTGGAGATGATTGGGGGCATTCTTCTATATTCAAGCAGCAGAAACAGTAAGAAACAATATGTAATTTGTGTCATGTTGCCAGTAAACGGGGAGTTTAATGAGATGAGCTATGGAGCTGACACTACATCAGGGTCGAAGCTAAACAAAATGTTTGTTGTTCTCCTTCAGTTCCACTCAGGGAACCTCAGGACTTCACTCCTTCTAGTGAAACAGATCATTCTGTCGACTTGTCTTGGAAAGCGATTCCCTCTGTGGACCAACGAGGTTTCCTCACACACTACAGCCTCTGCAGAGTGAAAATCAGCTCACAGGAAGAACACAAAGGTGTGAAGTCACTCCTTTACTCATCTGTAGCTTTTTGCAAAACCAAAGATCCAGTGTGCAACATTTAGGAGGATCTAATGACAGTTTTCATTAGTGTATAATCACCTGAATATGGGAATTGTTATGTTTTTGTTACCAGAATAAGCCATTTTGCCTTTATTGTAAAATATTTCTGTTGATACTTGATAACTTTCACTTACAGTAAAAATGAAACTTACCAATATCACAACTGTGTTTAACTGTGATGGAAACTTTCTTTGTGTTTTTTCCACATCTCCTTTTATCAGACTGCCAAAACATATCAGCCTCACTGATAAATCACCGTCTGGAAAACTTGACACCGGGAACGAAATACAACATCAGCCTGGCCGGAGTCACACGAGTGGGAGAAGGACCTCGAGCCACAATAACCATAAACACACAACCAAAGAAGCCTGTGAATGGTACCAGACTTACAGAATTAACTCTCATGTTTAAACTGCTTTAAATACAAGTCAGAGAACTTCTTCCACTTGTGAGTGCTAACAAAACTTTTCGCCCCCCGAGATTAGTGTTGTGGAGTCTTCTCTTTCTGTTTGGGTTCTTTTTCATCTCAACAGTGTGCACCTTTATCTTGAAGAGGTAGGTGACACCCTACTGGAAATATTCTACAATTTTGGATGAAAGTATTTCTAAACCTCACAAAATACAGCATGCATCAGGAGTTAAAGTTCATTCAACACTAATAACACTTTTTATGTATAGAATTGCCATCATAGTACCGCTTTAAATCAGCTTTTCATCCTGGATGGCTCTTTTTTTTTTTAACAGTTTCTTCTCTGTTTTAATACTTAGAATCAAAAACAAGATCTTCCCTCCTGTGCCGACACCTGTTATTCCAGATTTCACCCCCTGTCAACCAGAGAGTCAGGTAAGAGACTTTACCAGGAATATGCAGCGGTGATACATGTGTTTGTCTTTACGAAACCCTGACAGCTGGCCCTTTTGTCATTCATACACTTGAGAAGTTCACTGTGGTGAACACCCTTAGGGGAGGTTTGGGGAAGGTTTGCCAACAGGCTCGTTTGAGATGAGTCAGGCCTGCGTAACATCGACCACCGGTGATTGTCGCACAGTGCATGCTGGTTAAATTTATCTTTGACTTGATGCTGATTTGTTCTGATGCATATGTGAGCAACAATATCTTAATTTAGAGATTGAGGCGGCTGCAGTTTTTACAGCTATGCGCCAGTGCAAGACCCAAGGCATGATGGGAAACACCTTGCTGCCACCTGATCAAAGAGCTGATATGTGTGATAATAATAACAAAGTTTAATTATATCCCCGAACATGCTCTCCAAACTACACCTAACAGGATGTTTTGGTTTGTTTATATTTTCTGAAGGCTGCTGTAAGCTGCATACTGGAAAATAAATTACGCTTAAATTTAGAATAACGTCACTGTCCAATAAGCTTAGTTTAGGTTAACTCACAGTTAGTTGGATGCTTCATAACTTTACCTGTTACGTCATTTATTGTTTGTTAAAATCAACACTGTTTGTCACATCTTGTTAGTTAGTGTTGTGATGTTAACTGGGAACATATCCCAGCCACACTGAATAATGTTATCCGGCCGCCCCACAAGAAACCTGCACATATCATACGAGCTAGCTGGTACACACTTGACAGAGCAATGATTCATGAATGTTTTCCTAAGACTATGCTGACTAATTGTGGTTTTAGTGTTACTCAGTAGTGACCTTTACCTCTTTTGTACTTCCTATGGTATCTTATCACACATCAAGTTACCAAGGCACAAACATATGAGGTCTCTGGCCACATAGTACGATGCTGAAATCTACATACTGTACTTTCAGAGTGAGGGTTTTATACAGGATTTACATTTTAATCAAACTGAATCGGACACAAGTTCTGCACAACGATGGAGTCTTACTCCACAGCAAGCCAGCTGTTGCACACTTGACACTGTAATGATGTGGAGAGAGAAGGTAGTGAGGAGTGGGCTTAAATGTTACATAAAATTTGTTGAAAATCCAGCCTGTATCCCTGCATAGAAACACACATCAGTCCACTGGCAACCGAGAGTGTCGGTAAAAGGTCTCATGTTTTAGGTTATGTTACAAGCTGTTCACTCATTGGCAATAAAAGGTCATTAATAAATAAAAAATAATAGGTAAAATGCTTCAGAAGTTTCTATATGGAACCTTCAACAGCTAAGAAATATAGAAATTAGATATTGTTTCTTACTGTTTTTTATGATTAACAGGTATATTGATTCCTGTTGCTTTGTAAACCCAGTGTTCAAAGGTGCTATATAAATAAAGTTTACCATATTATTACATGTGTGTGAGCAGCGGTTGGGTGTGTGGAGGTTTAAGTAATTTAAAGTAAAAGACAGGCAAAGGGAGGCAGTTGGTGTGACTGGATGCGCTGCTCATATTCTTCTCAGGTACCGTAAACCTCAGTCCCCAATGAATCTGTTGAAAGACGATGTGAAATGTTTAATTTAACCAGAAAGCAGAACACAGCTAACAGCTGTCAAATGTCAGCTGTTCTTGTCATGCAAATAATTCACAACCATTGTCCTAATGCCAGTAACTCCACTTCTATTTTCATCATATGGCTGATGAAACCCTAACTCTTAATGACAGAATAAATGTATGACTGAATGTTGTCTGTAGACTCTGTGACTAATTTTCAAAATGCTGTTTTAGTGTGAAGATGACTTAGTAGTGACCTTTACCTCTTTTTTTACTTCTTATGGTATTTTATCACATCAAGTTAACAAGGCACAAACATATGATGTCTCAGGCCACATAGTAAGATGTTGAAATCTACATACTGTGGTTGTAGAGTGAGGATTTTATCACAGGGTTTACATTTTAATCAAACTGAATCGGACACAAGCTCTGCACAATGATTGACTCTTGCTGCACAGTTTTGTTCATTTTTGCTATACTAGCAGTACAGATGACAATGTCAGTCTGTGTCTTGGTCTGTTGGTCAGTCCACCAAATATTGGATGGATTGCCATGAAACTTTGGACAAACATTCATGGTTCTCAGAAGATAAACCCTATTGACATTAAACATTACTGGACTTTTTCTCTAGCGCCTCCATGAAGTTGTTATTTGTTGTTTTGTTTTCTCAACAAGTATTGGAAGGATTAACATGTTGTACAGATATATCTAGATGCAGATAATACAATACAATCATGAACCCTTAGTTTTTCGCCATCATACGGTTAAAAATGTAATCCGTACAATAGTTTTTTTTTTATAAATACCTGCAAACTTACTGACTTTCCCATCAGCCTCAGCTGCACTTTGTGTTTAGTGTTAATTTTCAGCCTCACAGAGCCTCTATGTAGCATTTTTTTATTGTATGTTGTTTCAGTTTTCTTGTTCCAAAGAGGCCAGCAAGCTAAGAATTTCATATGCACATTGCAATAAAGTTTTGAATCTTGAATCTTACTGCCCTCTGCTAATGTGACCTACAACAGCAGATGCTGGAGAGAAAGGAGGAGGTTCATGAGCTGACACTGCACCAGCTACATCCAGAGCGCAAGTCTCTCCCCGAGGACGCAGAGGAGACCCCTGTCTTTAGAGGAAAGTGGGATGATGGCACCGACGAGGATGCGGAGGATGAGAGGGGTGATTCAAGGATGCCAGGAGGAAGCAGCGATGAGTGTTTGAGTACAGATCAGGCACTGAGGAGCTCCAGAGAAGGGGAAATGACTGATATGGATCAGGTGGACAATGAAATCGCCATGCTGATATACAGGAATGGTTTGGTCTTTGACGTGAAGACAGATTCGACTTAAACTGGATTTAACTTACGGTTTTACTGCCTCGCAGCACAAAATTGCACAAACACATGAAAGGTTGACATATCTGTTGACTTATATGAAAGACTGGATGAATCATTTTCAAGTTCTAATTCTAATAGTTTACATTTTTCTAATGAAGAATCTGAGGAATCACCATGTTATAAGGAAACAATTTGTTTAATTTTCATGTTGAATTTTTCCAGTAACTTTTTTATGAGGACAACAGTACAAGCAGTAGGGTTAACCACTCACAGGCTTTGTCAATGCACGTTGTCAATAAAGTGTGGACAGCAAATTCTGGTTCAGACTTTTATGATTTTTGCCAGTTTGAGCTGTTTCCAGACAAGCAAATTCTGTTCATAGACTAATTTTATTGTCGGTCCATCTCTTTCGTTCAGACTGAAATATCTCAACAACCTTGCAATGAATTGAACTTTAACATTCATGGTCCTACTGACTTTGGTGATGCTACTTTTGCTGTAGCTCCCTCATGAAGCAGACATTTTTGTTTTTTAGGCAAATGTCTGAACTGTTGGATGCATGAAATCTGATACAGACAATCACGGTCTGTAGGATGAATTTTATAACATTGATGATCCTCAGCTGCACTTTGAGTTTCGTGTGAGTAAATGTTAACATGCTAAGTTAACACTCTAACCTGAAATGCCAAATTTAACAATAAAAACATGAAATCATGAATAATAAACACATATTTTTTGTATATAAGATTTCAAAGACTGTATTTGAAGCCTATAAGAAGGAATATCTTTGAGAAATTATTCAATAGGGGAAGCACGCGACTTGAACAATTTCTACTGGTAGCATAGCAGTGTGCAACAAAAGCCTCTAACCAGTTATTACATTAACTTCAACATGACTGCAGAGATTAGACAGACCTCAGCTTTTAATATCAAACTTAAAATTAGCGTTACAGCCTCAGAGAGCTGCTAGTGTCGCTGTAGACTCAACTACATTATAAAACTTTAACCTTGGATTAGAGAGAAACCACAACTACACTAAGTGCGTGCAAATACAATAAAACTATGATCAGATTTACAGTAAATTTTTTGGTCAGTGTAAAATGAAACCTGAGATAAAATAACAGAACCAGTGTACTACATGTGAGAAACACAATGTTGGTCTGTGAAGAGGTGAACATGTGACAGGAAGTGGTCAAAAGCAATGACCTTAAAAAAGGTAGCTCATGCAAGGTGAAATGCTTGATTACTCATAACCAAAGACACCTCTGTAGTATTTTGACCTACCTTGTTTAAACTGGAACGTCATTTCGACTTTCTACTAAGAAGTGATGACAGCAGTTTTCACCAAAACTTAAACATTCTCGGCAGAAATAAAAAGTCTTTGTCTTGGTTCCTATGTTGTAATTGCTGTGGCCTGTTTGAGAACAATGAAATCAACAAAAACTCTATTGTTTCGACGGTGAAAGCTTTATCATTCACCACATTAAGAAAAATGTAAAATCATCTGTCCCGACCGCAGACAGCAGGCTAACGTCTGATAAACATTATGTGTGATGAAGAAAATACAATGAACAGATACCACAGATCACATTTCACATTACCACCAGGGTGCCAGGTGGTCACAATGTTGAATATGTAATTCATACAACTTAAGTGCATTCAACATGAGTACAAACTATATTCTATTTAATGCAACTTTATACTTCTACTCCACTACATTTCAGAGAGAAATATTGTAGTTTTTACTCCTCTACATTCATCTGACAGTTTTAATTACTCTCCAGATTACAGTACATACCCTTTCTGTCAAGTGAAAACCATGTATCTCCACATTTGGCGATTTTTAATTAGATTTGTTCTGATAAAATAAAGGATTAAACGTTCCTGTATGGATTGAGACCCTTCTTCTTCTTGAACTAAATAATCTATTTAAAATCACGTGGAATATCTGGAAAACGCATCGTCACAAAGCTGAAAACACGGCTGTTTTTCTGAGCTCATATGTGGCTGTCAGACAATGATGATGATGATCTTATAGAATATGATGCACTGCTGTAGATTAAACTACCCGACAGTATATAAAGTAGAATGAACATCTACCACAATAAAATGCAACACACACATTAATGCATCAGTAATATCAATCCAACAACACTGTATACGATTGTAAAACTGACAAGATTTTTCTGCATAGGTTAATGCTTTTGATACTTTATTTACAATTAGCAGATAATACTAAGCAAGAATGTATTTTGCATTCTTAATGTATCCATCTTTAAGATACGGTCACAAAACTGCACATTTACTGGTATATTTTACAGACATTATATTCTGTTAATGAGAGCTGTGAAGCAGCTTGTTAGGTTTCAACTTCATGATTCACAGTACAAATAACTAACAAAGAGGTACAATTGTCTGTCATCCATATAAAATTACATGTTGTCTTGAATGAAATTGTATAGATTAAAAATTGTAAAGGCTGGGCTAAAATGTAATATGATATCAGCCAACTTCATCAATCAGTTCATTAAGATGATATAACTTATGCTGTGGTTTGGTTTAACAGTAATCTAACAATACTTGAAGAAAACAATGTCTGTCTCTGTACTATCATCTGTACTATTTATCAAAGAATAAGACAGAAAGCTCTGTATTGTATATATACATAAAATACACTGTGGTACTTCAATGATTCACTCTGTTATATGTTGTAACTCAGGTTGTCCAACAGATGGCAGAAAAGATTTGTTTTATTTGGTTTGTTTTATTTGGTTGTATGAGTCAGAATAATCCCATCATAGTTTTTAAGGACATAAAATCCTGGATGACCTCCAATTTTCTGATGTTAAACTCAGAAAAAAACGAAATTCTTGTTCTTGGCCCCAAAAACCTTAGAGACTCATTGTCTAAAGATATAGTTAGTCTAGATGGCATTAACTTGGCCTCTAGCACCACTGTCAGGAATCTCGGAGTTATCTTTGATCAGGATTTGTCATTTAACTCCCACATAAAGCAGACCTCTAGGACTGCCTTCTTTCATTTACGTAATATTACAAAAATTAGACACATACTATCACAGACAGATGCAGAAAAACTAATCCATGCATTTGTTACTTCAAGGCTGGATTACTGCAACTCTTTATTATCAGGTTGCCCCAATAAGTCCATTAAAACGCTCCAATTAATTCAGAACGCTGCAGCACGAGTACTGACAGGAACTAGAAAAAGAGATCACATCTCTCCTGTACTAGCTACACTGCATTGGCTCCCTATAAAATGTAGAATAGAATTTAAAATCCTCCTCCTCACCTATAAAGCTCTTCATGGTCAGGCCCCTTCATATCTTAAAGAGCTCATAGTACCCTATTACCCCTCTAGAACACTACGTTCTCTGAATGCTGGGCTACTTGTGGTTCCTATAGTCTCTAAAAGTAGAACAGGAGCCAGAGCCTTCAGTTACCAAGCTCCTCTCCTGTGGAACCAGCTTCCAGTTGTGGTTCGGGAGGCAGACACCCTCACCACATTCAAGAGTAGGCTTAAGACATTCCTCTTTGATAAAGCTTATAGTTAGGGCTGGATCAGGTGAGTCCTGAACCATCCCTTAGTTATGCTGCTATAGGCCTAGACTATCGGGGGATTTCCCATGGTGCACTGAGCTACTCTCTTCCTCTCTCTTTCTGCACTCATTCATGTCCCTTTAATGCATGTTACTAACTCCACTTCTTCCCCGGAGTTCTTGTGCTTTCTCGTCTCGCAGGTTCTCATGGATCCTGGTGGAGCCTCCTGCCATGGTCCTGCTTGACTGCCATTGCCAATACTGTTGTTGCTGTGCACCTGTCTGTCTGTCTGTCTCTCGCTCTCTCTCTCTGCCTCTCTCTCTCTCTCTCTCTCTCTCTCTCTCTCTCTCTCTCTCTCTCTCTCTCTCTCTCCACCCCAACTGGTCGAGACAGACGACCACCCACCTAGAGCCGGAGGATCTGTCCTAGGTTTCTGCCTTTTAACAGGCAGTTTTTCCTTGCCCTTGTCGCCAAGTGCTTGCTCATGGTGGTACTGTTGGGTCTCTGTAATTAATGTTAAAGAGTTCGGTCTAGACCTGCTCTATTTGAAAAGTGTCCTGAGATAACTTCTGTTATGAATTGGCGCTATACAAATAAAATTGAATTGAATTGAATTGAATTGAATAGTTTTTGGTTTTGAGAAGAACTGACTCATAATCAGTTCAGAGAGACATCGTTTTGGGTCGTAAATCCGGGGTTTTATATTTTTGATGAAAAAGTTGAATTTTGGATGACATTAGTCATGGCAGGCTGCTGCTGCTGTTATATATGGTATTGATTTAAAGTTTGTGTAAATTTGCACATACTGTACTGCATGAACTGTTTTTTTTTAAATACTGTGTATTTATATTTAATATGATATGATAAATGATATTACCCTGCTAAACTCTTACCTGATCTATATCTCTTCATATCCTCTTCAAATTCATACATTTCTACTATTTTCTCATTCTTTAAAAACAAATATCCATATCTTCTCAAGATCTTACCTGTAGTTTGCCCTCCAAAGTTGAATTTTCTTGTATGCAAAGTAACACACAGCTTGTGTCTGTCCTGTGGTTTCAAAATAAAAGTGTGGCTTTTCCAGCCCTCGTATTGGATTCTGGTTTCCCATCTGTACTGTGACTCGATGCCACCAGAGGGCAGTGTCAGGTTGTGTCTGCAGTTTAGCCAAATGAGTAAATCATCTCATGAACTTTTGTCTTGAGTAATAAACTCAGAGTTCACCAAATTACAAAATTCCCCTTTTCAGATAGAGCTTTTTATCTTAGAAAAATATTTTCTGAGTGCTGCTTTAAACTGACTTGCTTGGGATGCTCCCCATCAGAAAACTTTAAACAATGGTCCCCAGGGAAAGTGAGCGTGTAGATCAGAAATTTATAAGTCATCGCTGCAGCTGAGTCTGTCCATCCAATATGTCACAATCTAAGGGTTTCTAGGCAGGTCTAGTCTAGTCTAAGTCTAGGATGCATTTAAATCACAATGAAAGCTGCAGAGAATATTATTAGCATTTGATTGGCCTCTAATACAACAAGGCAGAGAGAGGAAAACATCTGGAAAGGGAAAATAGAAGTAGAGAGCAGTATTAACTCACAAAATTGTGGTTGTTGTTATTGTTTGTTTGAAATGGACTGATTGAAATGTGGGTAGGAAAAGGCTTGCGTGACTGACTGAAATACCGTTTTGTTTGCACGTTATTTTTTTTGTTGGAATCGCTGAAAGAATCCGATGTGTAGGTAGCAATTCAGAGGTGTGAAACCTTACAAAGGAATGATTAACTCCTCTGCAAAATGTAAATATGAGAGGAAAAAGATGCAATCTGTATGTCAAGATTCAGTCTGATAACTGTCCAGAACTGCTTTGAAAGGCAGTAAAAACACTTGATCAATACCTGCTGTTCTCCGTTTGCATGCATAAAGGTCATTTCATCAAACTAATCCAGTATATTATCTGTAATGGTACATCTTCACTTCTGGCATCCACTCATATACAGCATATCCAACCCATCACACAGCTTTATTCAAAACAAAATGTCATGATTTCAGAAGGTGCACTATTAAGTCGTCAGTGACTTTTATTGGGGTCAGTCAGTAATGTGTTATTAAGAAAAACATTAGTCACAGAGGCGGAAGTTCACTAATCAGAGCTGAGATCCAACTGACAAACTG